AATTAAAGTTACGGGAACACAAGGGACGTGATGCATAATGCAGGCTCAAGGTTTAATGTCCGCGGCGGCTCGACTACAAATGAACATTATCAATAATTAAGCAAGGCAATATAAAGGAGAGCGTGATGGGCTTGATGAAAGAAATAAAGTCCAGGAAAGGTTGCAGGTCAAAAAAGAATTTCTAAAGCTGTAGCAAAATGTGACAACTGCAAGGAATTTTTACCTGTGCATCAGACAGGAAGTGAACCCCGGGGCCTGTGTTATAGATATTCCAAACACCCTTTACATCAGTGTTGTATTTAATAAAATCATAAGACGTTTTTCTAAGTGCATTTGGTGTACATACCTGAATGTATCTTATTAGCAGAACGCTGTAATCCTTTGCACAGCAGCCCTCGGACTGGGAGACGGAGGGTCAATACACTATCTGCCAATTGGGTGTTGCTGCATGCACATGTGCTGTTAAGGATCACAAGAAGAGCGGACCTAACCACTGCTGATCATTTACTGTCCAATCACAGGCTGGGGGCAGGAAGGTGACCAAGCTGCATTGGTTACCTCCAGTAGAAATAAGTAGGGATGCACCGATATTTCTTTTTTTAGACCGAGCACGAGTACTGATACTTTTAGTACTCACCGATACCAATTACCGATACTTTTTTTGTGTGTCATGTGATAGTTTTTCTAAAAGAATACAGACTAACTATTTTAGGGGGGTCCGTAGGGTTTCAGCAGCGTGCCCATGGTTTGCAGCAGGAGTGCCCAGGGTGCCAGGAGGGGTCTGCAGAGTCTCAGCAGGGGTGCCCTGGGTTTCAAGAGGGGTCTGCAGCATCACAGCTGGGTCTCAGCAGGGGTGCCCAGAGTCTCAGGAGGGATCCACATCATCTCGGCAGAGGTGTTCTCAGGACTCAGGAGGAGTCCGCAGCGTCCCAGCAGAGGTGTTCAGTGTCTCAAGGGGGGTCTGCAGCATCTCAGCAAAGATGACCAGTGCTACACGAGGGGTCCGCAGCGTCCCAGCAGGGGTGCTCAGTGTCTCAGGAGGGGTCCGCAGCATCTCAGCAGGGTTGGCCAGGGTCTCAGCAGGGGTCCACAGCGTTCCAGCAGGGGTGCTCAGGGTCTTAGCAGGGGTGCCCAGGGTCTCAGGAGGGGTCCGCAGCATTTCAGCAGGGGTGGCCAGGGTCTCAGGAAGGTAGGGTTGCCACCTTTTCTTCAAGTGAAACCCGAACATTCTTGCGCCACTAAAAAATTTTTGGGGAGAATAGAGGAGAGAGTGAGGAGAGGCAGCTAGTTGGGGTTCTGGCCTGCTGTCTTCGGCAGAGGGTGTCAGGAGGGTCTTAGTAAGGGGAGGTGTGCGGGTGGCAGAAGTGATGTAAGCAGGCATCGCCTGGCTCCCCAGGTGGCTGCTGCGAGGTACCCTGCGACGCTGGACCTAAGACACCCGAGTCAATTTGAAAGATGTAAGTGCCGGCATTGGTTTTAAGTATCGGGACAGAGATCATATATAACACAGAGTAGATTGGTCAGCGGTGTAACACAGAGTGCGGAGGCAAGTAAAGTGACGCAGAGAGCGGAGGCCAGTCAGGTGACGCAGAGGCCAGTAAGGTGACGCAGAGCGCAGAGGCCAGTAAGGTGACACAGAGGCCAGTATGGTGACGCAGAGCGTGGAGGCCAGTAAGGTGACGCAGTGCGGAGGCCAGTAAGATGGCGCAGAGCGCAGAGGCCAGTAAGATGGCGCAGAGCGCAGAGGCCAGTAAGGTGACGCAGAGCACAGGTCTTGCGGGGCACCCGGACACAACACACCAAAACCGGACTGTCCGGGTGAAAACCGGACGGGTGGCAACCCTACAGGAAGGTCTCAACAGTGGGCGGGTACAGGAGGTGAAAGCGACATAAGCAGCTCTGTGAGGTCCCCAGAAGGTTGCCATGAGGTCCCCAGCAAGCGCAGGACCTTACAGCAGCCGCTTGTGTTTAAAAATGTAAAGTGCCGCTATCATCGCTTCGTTTTGGGGCATTTTTACCAGTACGAGTTGCCGGGAAAATGGCCAGTATTGGCAGAGATACTGGTATTCGTGCATCCCTAGAAATAAGTGAAGTCACCATTCTGGCACTAGCTCACTGTGGAAATCTCAAGTATGGCTGCAATGAGTTAAAGCCCCACTCTGGCATACTTTTTCTTAAACTACCCTTACAGTGGGGCCTCCCGGCATTGCTCGTAAATTGAGCAATAAAATATATTTGTTTGATCTGGATTCATTATTGAAAACAAATTTGAGAATTTTCGGCTGGGTTCACACCTAGGCGTATTGAATATGCGCATTTGTCGTGTGGTTCGCATCGCGCGTTTTTACCGCGATTCACGGTAAAAAAATGCGCGACAGACGCGCGTTTCCGTGGGCTACTTGGCTGTATCCCAATGGAAACGCGAGACCAAAACGCCCCAAAGAAGTACATGTACTTCTTTGGGCGTAGGCCGTTTTGTATCGCGTTCGGACGGGCGGAAATACGGCAAGGTGTGAACCAGACCCATTGAATACAATGGGATTTAGATGTTTGAGCGTTTAGTAGAGCGTTCGTCGAGTGTTGGTCGCGCTACAAAACGTTCAGGTGTGAACCAGGCCTAATACTACATTAAATGTTAGCAAGGCTGTAGTGTGAGAAAAGAAGCGGTAAGAGGAGCCAAACAGTTTAAAGCATGTTGATAGGAGGAAAAAGCAGAGTGACAGAAACATAATGCTGTTTTTTAAATTTTTTGATACAAATTATTCATTTTTTTTTACACCTTTGGCACCTTCCATAGTTCCATATATTTGATGTGTACTGCTGACTCTGGCTCTGGTCTAGTCCACATTCCTCCACACAGTCTTAATCAGTATCCCATTCACTCCCCACAATAAGGTTACAGTCACATCCCCCCCCCCGCCCCCCCCTTCAGCATCTGAAGTGCTCTTATCCACAGCTGGTGAATGGAGTAGAGTTCAGTCAATACATTCGGATCTCGCCTGTGTCAGATCCTTGAATGGAGAATGAAAGCTTAATTATAGCATTGGCTGCCCATTCCGCATGTTTTCCGTCTCAGATGACGGAGGTAATGGCGTATTATCTGATAGCCCGGAGATGGCTGTGGCAATGGAAACGTCGTGTAGCCTCTCCTTTATCTGCTGATGCCTGATGAATCCCCCCGCACAGGTTACTGTTTAAACAAAATATATTGCATTTGGCTGAGATCCGTCTCTCCAGATCTCGAATCTCAGGTCCCCCGAGGAGCAGAAACTGAGAACGCTTTTTTTTAATATCAATCGTTTTCATATAAAAATAGTCCTATTCATTACAGCAGCTGAAACATTGCAGACTGTGGCTGGAGGTAACTGGATATTCACAGAGGCATCTAGGTGTAAGCGAATGGTATAAACCGTCGTCATTTAACCCCGCAGCAAACGCCATCCCTTCAAGGGGAATTCCAAGACACAATAAGATTGCCGTAGGAATTAGGGATGCACCAATACCAATACTAGTATCGATATCGGTGCCGAGAATTTGGGCGAGTATTCATACTCGCCCAAATGCTCCGATGATTAGCCCGATACTTCTGGTATCAGGAAGCTGGGCAGCGAGTCATGACACGCTGCCTGGCTTCCTGATTGGCCGGAAAGCCGGCTCCATGCTCCCTCGTCACTTGTACCCCTTATTGTATTCAGCTACTAACTTTTTGTGCAGTCAGAATGGTGGTAAAGTTGTTTTTGGGTTATTGTTTTTACTATCACGTTAAGCTAGAGGAGGAGGTTGGTGGTATATATCGTGTATCTCCCAATCCTCTTGGCCTTACCTGGGTCATATATCCTGTATCTTCCAGTCCTCTCAACCTTACCAGGGTCATATATCCTGTATCTTCCAATCCTCTCAGCCTTATCTGGGTCATATATCCTGTATTTTCCAATCCTCTCTGCCTTATCTGGGTCATATATCCTGTATATTCCAATCCTCTCAACCTTACCTGGGTCATATACCATGTATCTTCTAAACCTTTCTGCCTTATCTGGGTCATATATCCTGTATCTTTCAATCCTCTCAGCCTTATCTGGGTCATATATCCTGTATCTTTCAATCCTCTCAGCCTTATCTGGGTCATATATCCTGTATCTTTCAATCCTCTCAGCCTTATCTGGGTCATATATCCTGTATCTTTCAATCCTCTCAGCCTTATCTGGGTCATATATCCTGTATCTTTCAATCCTCTCAGCCTTATCTGGGTCATATATCCTGTATCTTTCAATCCTCTCAGCCTTATCTGGGTCATATATCCTGTATCTTTCAATCCTCTCAGCCTTATCTGGGTCATATATCCTGTATCTTTCAATCCTCTCAGCCTTATCTGGGTCATATATCCTGTATCTTTCAATCCTCTCAGCCTTATCTGGGTCATATATCCTGTATCTTTCAATCCTCTCAGCCTTATCTGGGTCATATATCCTGTATCTTTCAATCCTCTCAGCCTTATCTGGGTCATATATCCTGTATCTTTCAATCCTCTCAGCCTTATCTGGGTCATATATCCTGTATCTTTCAATCCTCTCAGCCTTATCTGGGTCATATATCCTGTATCTTTCAATCCTCTCAGCCTTATCTGGGTCATATATCCTGTATCTTTCAATCCTCTCAGCCTTATCTGGGTCATATATCCTGTATCTTTCAATCCTCTCAGCCTTATCTGGGTCATATATCCTGTATCTTCCAATCCTCTCAACCTTACCTGGGTCATATACCATGTATCTTCTAAACCTTTCTGCCTTATCTGGGTCATATATCCTGTATCTTTCAATCATCTCAACCTTACCTGGGTCATATACCCTGTATCTCCCAATCCTCTCAACCTTACCTGGGTCATATATCCTGTATCTTTCAATCCTCTCAGCCTTATCTGGGTCATGAGTTTTTTGATGATATTAGATCATTGACCAGATCACTGAAGACAACTAACAGTTCCCCTTGTCTTTGCTTTTTAGGAACTTGATGCCACGGACATTAGAAGGGCAGATCACTATGGAGAAGACCCCAAGTTATTTTGTAACCCTTGAGGCTCCGAAAAGGATTTACAACATGTCCAAGGACACCAAACTCATTGTGGTGGTCAGGAATCCGGTGACCAGGGCGATCTCCGATTATACGCAGACTCTCTCCAAAACTCCATCGCTTCCGACCTTCCAAGCTTTGGCCTTTAAAAACACCAGCACGGAGGCTATTGACACTTCATGGAGTGCCATAAGAATTGGCATCTATGCTAAGCACTTGGAGAACTGGCTCCAGTACTTCCCTCTCTCCAAATTCCTTTTTGTCAGCGGGGAGAGATTGGTCAGCGACCCAGCTGGAGAGATGGAAAGGGTTCAAGACTTTCTGGGGCTGAAAAGGGTGATAACAGACAAACATTTTTACTTTAACAAAACCAAGGGCTTTCCGTGCCTGAAGAAACCAGAGGGAAGCAGCAAGCCTAGGTGTCTGGGGAAGTCCAAGGGGCGGCCACATCCGGACATAGACCAGAGACTCTTGCTTCGTCTCCAGGATTTCTATAGACCATACAATATGAAGTTCTACCAAATGACTGGACACGACTTTGGCTGGAACTAATGCCTTCCGAAAACAGTTTATAGGATCCGTATCTTTTATATACCAGTATCAGTGGGACTTATTTCCCTCTTAAAATTGAATGTACAAATTTTGTTTCCAATACGTGCAGGAAAATTCCTTTAATACAGCATTCATGGGAATCGGCAGATCTTGGATTTTTGGATATTTTGGATTATAGGACTTCCAACTAAAAGCGTTTTTTTCAGTTTTGAAGAGAGTTGTGAAGGTTGGAAACCTTTGGAGGAATTTCTCCCCTATTCCTGCCCATATTCTAGCCTTTCTCCCTAAATAACTGGCATCCAAACCCTTCCCAACTCTACTGTTAATTGTTTGCTGTGTCTTCATTGAAGAAAACACTCCACTCACTTCCTGTGAGAGGAAATTTTCTCTCTTGGTTCACAGGCAGCAACAGAAACCAGTATTTTTTCCTAAATTTGGAAAATGTTCGGGGACAATTCCATAGGGGCTGTTTTTTTGCAGAATGCCAATTTATCAAGGCTACCAGACAGTTAGCTTTTGCATTAAAGGAATTTTACTGTGCCTGAAATAAATATGTCAAGATGCATATTAAATCTTATGCACAAAAACAACTTCAAGCCGTGTTCCTCCTTTTTGATCTGCAAATATTCCCATCGACTTATGTTTTTGGAATCTCTCTCAGCGGAAACAAGTGGGATAATTACTAACAGAGTGAAATAGATTAATTTGGCTGCATGAGATAAATGTGAATATTAAAGCATTACCTGAAGGGGCTACAAGTCGGCCGTAGAGGCTGCCACTTTGTCAGGTGAAAAGTGTGTCCATTAGGGCAATGTCAAGTGAACAGTATAAGGATACCGGTAGATGGATGTTTAAGATCCTGCCTAAGGCTCACCTACATTGGGCTTTGCTTAGTGAACCTGAAGTGGTTCTCCTCCCTTTGAGGGAGAGCAGTCCAGTGCTTGCTGGATTCTTGAGCACAACATAAAGCATCTGAATAGGATGTGTCTAGCATATTGAAGGTACATGTTGAGGAACCCCGGCTTGGGTGCCATCCTAAACAGCTCTCTACACGTATCATGACAAATTTAAGAAGTGGAGTGATGGAGCTCTGGACCCTGGTCAGTATACCAAACTAATGTGACAGCTCCTTTTGAGGCAGCTTCCAAGTGCAACAGTGGGCCCTGAAATGGCCTTCAAGGTGACATCTCAATGTTTGTTGGAAAAAAGCACTTAGGTATGGGTGGCAGCACAGATAATGTTTATGCAATACAGGAATCTTATAAAAACACCCAACACATTTCAGGGGTTCCAAGGGGCCCCCTTCATCGAGGCTCAATGATGGCTGGACTGGAAAGGAAGGTCTGGGTAAAATTATTCTTCTCTCAGCCTATAACATGAGTGATAATGAGAGGCAGTTGTTGCAAAAATGTTTCTCAGTACAGGAACAAGGTTAAAAAAACCAAAAATAATGTTGGGGCATGCCCTAGAGGGGGGTTCTTTGGGTAAGGCCTGGGTTCACACTTTAAGCACAGTGTTTTGTTTTACTGTGTTATTCTAACAGAGTGAGTAGTTGGATCATTTAGTGAGGTTTTGGAGACATTGTGGCATTTTTTATTAAGGTAACAGACAAAACATTCTGTTACCTTGATAAAGGGGGCCACTGTGTCCCTGAAATGTCACATTGGAATAATGGAACTTGAGCAACTGTGGCCATAACAGAACGTTCTGTTTCCTTGATAAAGGGGGCCGTAGTGTCCCTGAAAAAGTCACATTGGAATAATGGAACTGGAGCCATAGCAGAACACTCTGTTACCTTGATAAAGGGGGCCACAGTGTCCCCGAAATGCCACATTGGAATAATGGAACTTGGGCAATTGTGGCCATAACAGAATGTTCTGTTACCTTGATAAAGGGGGCCACAGTGTCCCCGAAATGCCACATTGGAATAATGGAATTGGGGCCATAACAGAACATTCTGTTACCTTGACAAAGGGAGCCACAGTGTCCCTAAAATGTCACGTTGGAATAATGAAACTGAAGGGATATTAGACCAACATGAGGTTTCGAGGACACTATGGCCCCCGTTAATAAGGTAACAAATAGATGTTCTATTAGCCTGATAAAAGGGGTCACAATGTGTCCAAAATGTCACATTGGAATAATGCAACTGGAGTATTATTCAACTACCATGAGCTTTCCGGGACTCCATCATGACCCCTATAATAAGGTAACAAGACAGAAAGTTCTGTTACCATGATAAAGGGGGGGGGGGCACAGTGTCCCTGAAACATGACGCAGCAATAATGGAACTCCGGTAAAGGTCTAAACTGGATGTGCTAGATTTTTTTAATTGCAGTCGTACATGGTACCACCATTGCTGAGCACCCTGCACCAAAAAGTTGGCACGCAAGGACTAAGTGCTGGCCGGGTTGTTGTGATTTAGCAATACAAACCTGACAAGGTTTCTAACTCTTCCACACTCATACACTTATACAAAACTCAAAAACAAATTGCCTATCAATACACTTTAAAAAATAAAATGACCGTTAAAAAAATGTTTTTATCCGAACAGAACTTAGAGAAAAGGGGTCCGAAGAAAATATGGGCCGCTATGTGAAGTGGCCAGATGCTTTTTAGGTCAAGTAGAACACAGTTTTTCTTTCATGGTAGACTTGTAGAGTTCTGTCTATCGAGAACCTTCTGCCCTAATTAATATAATGGCATAACACAGTTGTTGAGAAAAGGGGTGGAGCCTCTATGAACGAGCACATCAATCACGTGTGCGGAGGGCACCGTGAATTATAGATAGGGACCCGGCCTCAGCCACACATGCAGCCTGCCATTAAGCCTGACCTATTTCCTCTTCTGTAGTCACCTGCAGAAACTAGAACACGTTTGTACGTTGGGAAGACGTTCACTCAGCCAACGCACCCTGGGCCATGATCACTCGAAGCACTGAGAGAGCGGCGAACAATAGCCACCATCCGGGGGGGAAAGGAAGACTTTGAAATAAAATCACAGAGAAATTCTGGTGAAACAGGAGATGGGAGGACTGCCTGTTCAACATCGGACACATGAAAGGCGGCTGTAATAAAATAGCAAAATCCTAAATACCTCCAACTTTTTATTAGTTGGGATGAGGAAACGTGTTCTTTCATGTGTGATACAAATACCTCTGAGACAGCACAGGGCTTGCGTTTCAGGTTTTAGATACTTAACATATCGCAATGTGTCTGTCACAGATTGTAACAGTAATGAGAAAACTGGTTCCCTAACCTGGATTTGCAGCAATCCGATTGTCTCAAGATTGACGCTCCGCAATGCCAGGTGAACTTATTTGCCGGTGGACCTCCGATTGCCGAGACTGACTGAACATTACATCATCATGATGAAGATACACCTATCTGGACTACTGGTGTCAACCCAATTCACCCAAGCCCACTGAAAATTGTGACCACCACCCCCTCCTCCCAACTACCACTGAGCAGTTGCTGCGGGGGTGTTTCTGCCCCTTTGTCATGTGCACCTCACCGCAACGGATTGAGTCAGGAAGAGGGATGGCGGTCAGAGTTTTGAGCGGGCTTGGGCGAATTCAAAGTTCACCCCAAGCGCAGCCACATAATTAATCTTGACTATAAAAAGTACAAATGTGGACTAAAGTGTAACCAAAGTCTGCACTACTTACCTCCTCGCCAGGTCCCTTGCAGCTGCTGCTGACATCTTCACCCCGTGTTTTAAAGGGTTCAATGTCTTCGGCCATCTTAATTGGCCAGCCCGGGATAACGTAACCCCCATGCACAGGAGTTAACTCATCCCCGCATCAAGGCCTCCTGAGATTGTACACTGAGCTATGCCCGTGCAGTTCATTGTACAACCTTTATATACTTCTTAGTCGTAAGATAAGAAGCTTTTATTGTATACATACAGAGTCTCTTCTGCAATAAAAGTCTTTCTGCTAGCAAGTTATTCTGAAACTAAAATCCCACTTTAGATTAGAACTGTGACCAAGTTATTGGATATTCAATTATTTACATATGTATAATAAGCAATAGAAATGATGAAAAACAAGCCCTCACTGACCTTTGTAGCTGAAGGCGCTGTGGAGCAGCAGAGGGCGGAGGGCGGGTGCAGCAGAGGGCGGGTGCAATAGCTAGTTTGCTATTGGCTATTGCAAATTGAAATAGCCAAAAGAGATCTAGCAATGCATTCTTTTGGCAACATTTTTTAATTTTTTTTTGACAGCAGCAGAACCGCCCGGCCAATAGAAAACAGTTGGGCTGCCTGCTCCGCACAATCATTTTCTATTAATTTTTTTGTACTTTTTAAACTATTTTTCTGTTCTGCTCGGTCCCATGCCTCAGCGGCATTCGGCTATTTACTCACTGCTGTTCTGCATCTATAACAATAAACCGAACAGCAGTGAGTAGCCTGCCGGAGGTTCGGCTTAGCCAATCCAGATGTTGGATCGGCTGAGTCGAAACTCCTTCTGCATTTCGGGTGAAATGCAGAAGGAGTTTCTGCATGTTCCTTCTGCATGTTCGGCCGACCCGAAGCCACACGAAGCCACCCGATGTACGGCTGATATCAGCCGATATACGGCTGAAATCAGCCATACCAGCCTGAAGTGAATAGCCGAACTGCGTTCGGCTCACTTCGCTTCAGGTCGGTCGTTCACTCGGCCCCCTATGTGTTCCCAAAAAGTAGACTTTACCTTGAACATACTTCAGGTAGGTTAATCATACCCAGAGCTGAAGTCAGTGATGTCAAGCCCTTAGTTGAAACTAGCTTCAGAAGGACCCACAGAGCCAGTCAGAAATATCAAGCCCTTAGTTGAAACTAGCTTCAGAGGGGCACAAAGAGCCAAGAACAATCACACAAAAAGACTACAAATACAATGTACAGTCATGTGCGCAAAGCAAGCGCACATAAAAGCGGCTTACCTTGCATAAACTGATAATTAGCCTTCATGGGAATAGATATCTATTTCTCGGTTAATCAAACGGTAATAAATACCAGCATGATAGATTACACAGAGATAGGGGGTGGGGGGGGCCCTGGGAACTGGACCTAACGAGCAGGGAAAAAAGATCCATTTTAATGAGGCTGATTTGTGTAATGAATGGAGGGACACCTCATTAACCTCTAATGATCAGCAGCTG